ATTGAAAAATGGCTTGATGCGGCGCTAAAAAGATTTGGTCGCATTAAATGCTGTCGTTTATCTGGCACTTGGCTCACACCAAAGGAGCCACTTGCAAACACACACTTAGGCATTCTCAAAGAGGGGCCTGCACACGTGTGTGTGCGAGAAGCCGGAGGCTTGTGTTTGCCTAATACGCTTCAACTTCTTTGCCCACAAGCCAAAACACAGGCCAACACACACTCGCACACAGTGGCCCATAAATAGGGACACGGACAAGGGATCGGCATGTCAAAGGCACGTGCAATCCAATATAAACAATCCCGCACATAGGCACATAAAGAAAATCTCGGAAAAAACTAAAATCAAATCGAAAGTGTCACAAAAATGTGTGGCTAATCCTCAGTTTGAGGTGGAATTTGATTTGTGAAAGATTAATATATTTTATTTACTTAATATTTTACATAATACAATCTGAACAATATTCAAAAAAAAGAACAAAAAACGGGGAAGTTTTTTGAAATATATTTTTTATCAGGCTGTTTTTCAGACATCTTTATTCTACTTTTAGTGAAATATATGGTTTTATAAAAGCTTTAAGAGGATTTGCACTATTGTTATTTTTTTCAGTGGACATTCCCCTACATATACAGTTGCGTGTACCTCTGTTGAACTAACCGGCGGCTTTTCATTTTTTTCCCCGCAACCCGTACCAGCACAAACGAGCCCACACACACAAATTTCTTTGGCATTGGCCAGGTTTGGTTCCTAGAGCACACCAATGCGGCCGTGTTCGCAATATTTTGCCACTTTTTTCGTTGGAATTCCACCTCTTTTTACGTTGTGTCGCCTTCCCGAGCCGAAATCCACCCTGGGGGGTGCCGCACTGCCAGTAACACTCGCACACAACTAACGCTACCAACGTTGCGTATACGTAATGTCAAAACTATCGATGGCGAATTTACACCACGTTGTGAACACATTTTTTTGCCACAGCACAGGCGACATTGGTGTGTAATGTTGTTGTCGCGTTAGTAGTTGCATTCGCGAAGGGCTTATTTGTAGATCGTTGCCATTGGCACATACTGTTATGAGGAATATATGATACTCTGAATTTTATATATTCATATTTTTATTAAATTAACTTTTTTGAAAACATTATTTTATATATTTTAATTTATTTTTTTATTATTACTTATTTTGTTTCATTAATATAGTATTATGATTATCTATAAGCAGCTTATAATTTAATAACCATTAAATTATTTCTATAATCAATTATAATTTATTTTTTAACCAAAAGATATATTAATTTTTATTTATTTAAGGGTGCTTCTACGGGTCATTACCTGCGATGGTCTGACTTCTTTATAGCATTTACCCTGCAGGGGAGACCCTTTCTTTTCTATCGCATATTTCACTATATTTTCATTTTAGCGCTTTCATACAGGCACACGCAGCGCACACACACTCACATGAATGCAGGGGCAAGCATGCACACGAGCACAACATACAGACACACGCACACACCCCCAACAACAATGGTCGCACTTCCTGTTTCCGCTTGTTGGCAGCGGTGTTGCAAAGTGTGAGACGAGGGTGGAGGTGTAATGGGGCAGAGAGGGAGAAAAGGGGTTGGAAGAGGTGAGGTCGGGCGACACCGGGGTCAAGGGAGAAATTTGCATAAATTTTCCGTACATTTCGCACAGAAGGCAAATTGCATTTTCAGCATAACACGTACTCCATTCTACTTACACCGACATCACCGAACGCACACACTTACACTCTCACGCAGTAGTTTTTCTTTTCAACCCAACACCCTCCCCTCCCCCTATCATACCAAAAAGGTAGGCCGTGTTTTCCCGGCGCCATCATCCTTATTTTCATTTTCAACCTCCTCGCATCGTCGGGAGCTTCGTCGTCCTTATCCTGGCGCTCCATTCGTCTGTGTTAGTTTAAGGCATGCAAATGTTACGAAAATTGCTTTTTACTTCCCATCATGCAGGTGAATGAGTTTCCCTCCCCCACACCCACTCACACACACAGGCAAACACGACATTCTCACACCCACACACACACAAGTAAGTTAAGTGTTTGCCTTCAAGTTGTTACTGCTAAATTACCTTTTGTTGTAATTTTTTGGCCCTCGCACAATGGACACAAAAGTTTTTGTTAGCCAAAATCGAATAAATAATAAAATAATTCATAGCCCCATGTATTTTGTGTTTAGTGATTTTGCAGCTTTCGTGTTTAAAAATTGAAAAACATAAATATTCAAATTCCAATCAATTTCGCATACAAATGAAATGCCTTTCGTATGCATTTCATGTTTCAAATGTTTCGTTTCCGGGCGGAAATTCGGTGCACATGCATTTGCACTATCATTTTTACTTTTTAAATGAATGTCAATTTTAAAAGCCTAATGCAATTATAATCATTTCCTTTTTTTGCATGCATGTTCATGCATTTAAATGAGTTTTTAGATTGTACGAGGCTATTTAACACGATAAGAAAATGTGCTATAAATTGTAAGATTTATTTAAAATTTAATTTAAAAACGAACTATAAATTAAATGCATTATCTGTATTTAGATAGTATTTAATGAAACATTTAACGATTATTTTATTAATCAAATATAATTATGATACTTAAATTTAATCTCCATGTACATAACTCAATTTTAACAATGAGTTAATCTCTTTATATGAAAGCCGCGTTAAATCAAATTTAATTATTACAAAATTCAGCTAACGAGTCTAAAAAATGTAAGCCACAAAGCCACATTTTTTGCCATTGTCCTGAGGTCGCCTCTTTACCTCGAACCCCTCGGAGTGTCCTGTTAAATGATGTGTTGTGGGCCAATTTAAGCCGAGTTCCTCTATCTCTTTCTGGCCTGGACTGGCCATCCCTTGCTTCGTTTATTTGCACTATAACATTTAAAACTGATTTATGCAGAAAATTGAAGAAAAAACATTTAATTGCTATCCTCCCCTTTTAGTGTAGCAAAAATGTTAAATGCAATGTCAAGCAGAAACACAAAAAAAACAGTAAGCAAGATGTAAGCGGGGGTGCACGGAACAGCCAAATAATATTCTGCATACAAAATAACTTGGTTTCTCTAATGGCTGAATTTTAAAATGCATGAGCTCCACTCGGGTCACCCCTTCGGAACCCATTTCCAACCCCTCCCCGCCCCCCCCAAAAACCCCAACCCATTTCGTCCTGCGAGCATGTTTGTGTTTTTGTGCTGTGCTTTGTAAACTGTTGAAGTTTATTTTGCCAGATTTTAATATGTATGAGTTGAAGATGAAGCATTTATGGCCACACAACACAGTGGCAGATAGAATACTCTGTATGTGTTTGGCATATTTATGCAGAGGTCTTCGACGGGCCGGGGGGGCGTGGCCGAAAAGGGGCGTGCCGGCCTCTCACTTCTGTAATAGCAATTTCCTCCGAAGCCTCCAAGTATTTTCGGCATGCTCAGCAATTTTCCCACTGGCAAGTGACTGACTAATGTAAGTTACGTGTATCCTATATGTATCCTCCACTCAGTCCACTTCCAGCCGCCCCCTTCCATCCGTTCACCATGCTCCAATAATGCAAAACATTTGTACTAGACAAGGCCGTTCCATTTTCTTTGGTGAATCCCGCTTCATGTGGCAAATGTGGCTTCTTTTTGTGCGGCTCGTTAAGTTAGCCTGATGCCATTTGTTTTATGTTGCTAACTCAATTTATGAATACCACTCATGAATCATGGGGATTTTCAGCCGCCCGTTTTTGGGTTTTCCCGGAGCGAGTTTAATGTTAGAAGAACAGGTTATTAAGATAAAAGAGAATTTTTAAATGGGCTTTTTTGGTTTTAAATAAGAAAGGAAATGGTAGCTACATAAACATATGGAATTCATAATTATTTACGTATTTTGTATTTTCCCAAAACCATAATACATCATTTTATTAAAACCATTAATAAATCTTTTCGAAAAAGGTTACAATTTTGTCTTTTACATGATGGATCTTAAGTTAAATGAAGATTGGTTACAGCTCATCCATTAACATCCCATTTTCAGTTATCACGACACTTTCCACAGGTCTCCTTTTTCCAGATCATATAATATGCGTCGTCCTGTTTGCATGTCCTACATCTGTATCTTATTAACCGAATTGATGTGTTTGCTTATTTACTTAATGTCGGAGTGTATATGTTTCTGTTCCTGACTCGACAGCCCCCTAACCCTCCGGTATACAGTTGCCAAAGACGAGTCCTTGGCTCCCCCATTTTGGTCCTTGCGTTTTACGTGCTCATTATCTGCGCTTCCGAACAATTAGATTCAATTACCCACCGCACGTCTATTGTCGGTAGCTGGGAGCTGGAAGCTGGAAGCTGAGAATCCCCCGATCCGATCCGCTTGCCCTTGATGAGATGCGACTTGGACAGGGGATTATTATTCCCGTAACGTTATCCGGACTCCGGGATTCTCCGCCGGCACACACACGTCACGTAGCCAAGTACATCCTGCTGATGCTCCTGTTCGTGGCTCAGTACAACTAATCCATCACTATTCGTCTTACATTTTAAATGATTCTGCTAGGCAACCTGGCTGGTGGGTAAGTGGGGGATTAGAGAGGTATTAACACCCATCAGAAAGTCAATTGCTTGTAAAATTCTCCCCCAAAGGATATTCCTCAGCCTTTGGCAGGCTGGGACAAGAGGATTCCTGGGAAATTTTTGCAAGTGACACTTATTTATCATTCGTCCCCAGTCTTATTTATCATCAGTGAACAGGCAGGCAGCAGAGACAGCGAGTCAGCACGAAACAAACAAATTGAACAAGGACTCAGCCTTAATGTGAAGTGATTTGTCAGCTCAGATGGAAGATGTCCTTAAGGGGATTTCGAAGGCGGCTGAAATTTAATTTCATACTTTGTTAAAAGGGCAAATCATTTGTAATCAGAGATAAGAGAGGCGGCGAGATGAGTGGGCGAGGTAAATTAATGCCAGGGTGCACCGATTTTGGCCCAAGGAAAACGAACACTTCGGTTTTCGTACAATTACGTATATTTATTTGGAGTATTTGTGTCAAATATTGTTTGCTTCGCATTCTTAAAAGTTAATTATTGAAAAATCACACAGGAAATGATTTTCATTGTTCATGCTTTACATCTGATCTTAGTGGTTCATCATAAAAAGTATTAACAAAAACACGCTTTGCTACTAAATTAGCTCTTTTAGGTGCCAGAACTTACAAATTAATATCACTATAAATGCTCAAAGGGGAAAGGGTAGTGATGGTGAAGAGTAAAACTAGAATTCTGTGTGAAAACTGTTTGCCGTGTCGATCATCTTGGATTGCAGAAATATCTCAGCATGGTCAGTCATCTGGGGATTTAAATAAAAAAGGGAAAATTAGATTTAAATTAAAAAAATGTTTTCCACAAAAAATTAATCAATTTATTTTAGTTTCAGGATCTTACCTCCTTGAGGGTCAGCAACTCGTTCTTGTCCTCGTCGCACAGACTGAACAAAGTGGCCGCCTCCTGGAGGGCATAGCGTGGTGTCTTCGGATTCACATAGTTAAGAAGCTCTCCCCGATCGGCCTTGCCATCGTGGTTTTTGTCGATGATCCGCTTGAACTCCTCGCGTCGCTCGACCAGCGTCTTGGAAATCAGAGATTTGCGCATCAGGTCGTCGTCATCGTCCACATTCAGATCGGAGAACTCCTCCAGGGTCAGCTGATCGTCGCCATCCTGATCGAACTGGCGCAGCAGATCATCGACCAGTTCCAGAAGATTGGACACACTGGACTCGGGATGCCGGAAACTCAAATACTCGTCGATGGTCAGGGTGAAGAGATCGGTTCGAGCTGCCTCCGACCATCGGGCCTTGTCCCTCATCATGTCCTCCCGGGCCCGCCGATTCAGCGCCGTGTGACGGATCTCGTCGTGCTCATCGATGTCCGCCTCCGTCATGCCGTGCTCCCTGAGGAAGAAGCGGTGGTACTCGTCCCAGGTGATCAGTCCGTCGGCGGGTCCGATGTCCACGCGCCGGAACTCACGGGCATTGTTCATAATTGCCTCATCAATGTGTTCCACAATCCGGCGATTGATGTACTGGCCCATCTCCTGAATAGACAGAATGCCATCACGATTGCGATCGGCACTGAAATGGAAAATTAAGAAAATTTAATAGCAAATATAGGAAAATTATATAATTAAGTACTAATTCCCTAAAATCTTAATAGTCTCCTTCAAAATTCCCTTTAAATTGACTAACAAATGAAAACATTTGCTGAATAATTCCGAACCCAACTGAGTTAAGCAGCCTAATCAAATGTACATTACACATTAACAGCAACCGACTGGCCCCCTTGGCATTTGGCACGAATTCCCTGTTGCATACTTGTGTCTCCCTTGTCGGTGGAACACACCTCACCCGAATTCCCAGCCTTCTGCCTACCTAACCGCAGAGAAGTGGTGCCACCGAATGCTGCATATGACAGCTGTCTAATGATTTCTCAGGTCCCCAGGCTTCGTTTGCACTTGGAAAATTACTTGAGAAAGAGCTACAATGAAATATAAGTTAATAATTTTTTATAATCACTATCATAAAATATTAGAATATATATTTTAATTTATACTGATGATTTAAAATGATTTATTTCTTTAATCTTAAAATTTTGATAAGCCCATAATATTATAAGTAATGGAAAATCGATTAGAAAATTAATACATGAAATACACTTACAGTATCATATCATAAAGGTAGATATCATAATATCAAGTATCCTAATATGGTAGCATTTTTTTCCAAGTGTACGCCTCCCCCCAGCAATGAAGTGCGAATGCCCAAAACAGGTGTCAGATATTAAAGCTGCTTATTGGGGACTTGGGTCTTGGGTCTGAAATGGGGGCGGGTGTAGAAGTGGGCGTGACAGGAAGAGGGCAGCAAACCACTGGAATAATCAGCGGATGGCAGAGGAGCGAGACCAATTGTTTGTGCCTGCAATTGTGTTTGTTTGCTCGTGTACTTATACATACAAATGTACGAATGTATGTGGGGACATGGCGGAAACGGAAGTGGCAGCAGCAGCAGCAGAAGAAGAAGCAGCCACCGCACAGTGGTTTCATTAGCATATAGTTGATAAATAAATAAAGTTGCAACTAAAACGGTTTCAAGTTGCCCCTTCCTTTTTGGGCTGGGCTTCCAGCAAACTTTGCTCCTTGCTCCGCCCTCCTAATTCCTCTTTTCGGTCACGTTTTGCTGCTCCAGCTCTCCAGTTTGGCTGAAATGTATATATGAGAAGCGTTTGCGGTCGTTCCCCGAGTCCTTTTCAAGTGGGATCAAAGAGATGAGGCGGATGGCGGGGGGCGGAAGCCGGCTAAGTCCTCGAATATAAAAACAAAGTTTTCGAGCTTTGCGTTTCTTCCTTTGGCGTCTTGTACGTGCAAGAAATTGACTCGCAAAAAATGCGAATGGGAACAACTTTGCCATTCGTACATTCCTGCAATTGAGGCTTTGAAACGGAACCGAAAAAGGGGCAAAACCCCGTTTGCAACGAGCATTGGCTAAGGGGAAGGTTTTGGGGATTTGTTGCAGAGCGCAAAGTGCATTTTGCATAAGCCTGCGGTTCCACTGAAGTTGGCCAATTGCTTCTGCCACCGCCGTGATTCCTCCTGCAACTCGTTTTCCGGGGGCCTGCTGTCTAAGGATCTAAGGCCAGGACAGGATGCCTCACATAGAAGGGTTTTGAGTGGTGCATAAAACTATTATTTGATTGCATATACACCGAGTCTAACTGAGGACTTGTGTTCGTATTTATCCGCTCAGCTCTTTCTCCTTCTCTCTCTGTCTGATTTGCTATACTGCTCTCACTCTGAGGTCGGATGGCAGAAGTCAGGCTTAACTGTTGAAAATTTAATGGGATTACTTTAAACTTGATTCCGACTGTTTAGTCTAGGCTTTTTGCCTTCAACTGCAAGTTTAAATGCCTTGGGGCAGTTGGTTAAGTCACTTATTTCTTTAGATTAAATATCCCTGAACTTTAATGGCTTTTAAGTTTTTATCAAAGGTAAGTAAAATTTCCGAAAATAAAATATTTCAATGGTTTTTAGCGATCGTGAGTTTTTTTATCATCTTTTCAACAAAATATTTACTATCCAAATAATAGTCTTTTGTAATAACACACATTTAATCAATAACTTATATTGCATGTAAATGGAGCATGTCCTGTTTATTAAATTAAATAGTGTTAAAAAGTTTCAACATCATTAGAGAAAGTAAAATGGGAATTCTCTGCAAGTCAGCTGAAATACTTAGGTGTTAACTTTTCTCAAAAAAAAAACACATAAATCACATTACCGCACTATACACACTTACCTACTGAGCGCACTAACAACAATAGGAAAACTCGAGTGAAAAAAGTTTTCCGCGTGTTGCGCGCCCAAACTTTTGGCCAAAGTTTATTGCATACTTTGGTGCGCTCGCACAGGGGAAAGAGACAAAAACGCTGGGCGAAAAGGAAGTTTGCAATTTTAGCACGACGCAACGCCCAATCAATGAGGGAGGGATGGGGGCGGGGCGGCATGAGAGGGCCGGAGGCGTGGCAGGCTGCGGGTGCCGCAGGCAGGCCTAATTGGATGCAAAAGTCAGGCGGGGAACAGGGGACACTGGACAGACAGGACATTAGCCCGCCTCACTGGTCGATTCGGTCATGCATGGGGAATGAGATTGGAACTGCAAAATTGCCAACTGTCGATGGCATGTGGCTGCCACTGCCACTGCCACCAGGGGAGAAACAGAAGCGGACGATAGCGCTACGTTTTACAATTAAAATTTATAACAATGTCCCTTTCAACGGCCAGATGAGGCGACAGTTGCAGATAAAATTTAATTGCTCCTAAAAATTAACAGAACACAGCGCTGAAACTCACGCCCACTGTCGACCGCATTATTAAAATGGAATTTACATACAGAAACGGGAAAGTGGGAACCGAAAACAGGGGCTGCGGTCACGGGGGTCACAAAGTCAGAGGGGTTGGGGTTGGTCCACAAAATGATGGCTATTAATTTCAGGCAGCAACGCAATTATCACAACATTTTCTGGTCAGTTTAATTGCAGTTTAATGCCAAGGCGACAAGTGGAAATCTCCACATAACTCACTTCTACCCCCCGAGGGACCTTAAAGATCCGACCATTTATTTAAGGCCATTTAGTGCCCGCCTCCTGTTGCGCTTTAATTGCTCTTTGCCGGAATTTAAATTCGATTCGAACTCGATTGCCCGAGAATTGTTGTTCGTAATTCAATAGATATCTGCAAACTATTCCATTGGCCATGGCTTAAATAAATTGCAAATATGCGGCGCGCAACAAATGCTATGCAAATAATTTTAATTTCGTCTGAGTAGAAATTCGAATGAATTTCAGCTCCCTCGGGGTCCCATTGGTTTTAAATGTTATCCCTCATCAAATATTAATAAAGGCTGTGCAAATATGTGCGGCTATGGCAGCTATTTATCCATAAACAAATACCGACACTGGCTAAAGCGGCAAATGCGTTTACGCCCGTATTCCTGGCTAGCCGGTAAAGTGAAATACCCCGGAGAGAGATCCGAACTGAACTGACCAACTGCCTCATGGAGTTGGGAAAACTTTGGTGTCGGGACCTCTGATTCGTATTTGCTTTAAGCCCCTCCCCGTGTTTATGTTTACTGATGGAAACTACTGCACAGCCAGTGCCCTGCTGATGGACAGCTTTCTGGTGGCTGCCTTGAGGGGATTTAACTGGTTATCATAAGTGCCGAAGGTCGTTAGGAAATCAAAGGATGCGGATTGGGGGTGGCATTGCCCATGGCCTTGGGCCAAACAGAAAATGCAATGAGGCGAAAGCATCTCTGCACTTAGGAAAGTAGCTTTAAGGATGAATCGAGAGTGGAGCTTTAAAAATCATCAGATCATCAGTAAAAAAGTTTAATACCCCGAGAAACAAATGATCATGAGAAACTGAACTATTTGTAAATTTATTCTAAACTTTTAAGTTTCATAAATATCTTAATAAATATATATCTTCATAAATATATAATAATTTCTGAATTGTAGAAGACAAACTTTCAGTATGGAATGTAAAATTAATTTATTTTAGATTATAAGTGTAAGCTAATAATAAATAAATTTTTCTTTTATATTAATTTAAATTTAAATAAAGAAATTATATTTTTGCTTCGGTTAGAGTATCTCTATTTCACTATTCCGCAATCTATGCCCATGCACTCGTATCTTTCACTTGGCATCAGACTTAATTGAACTAACATAAATTCTCATTAGTAGCAAACGCAAACAGGATATCTCGGTTGGCATTTATAATCCTAAAGAGTTAAACTGCCCGAGGTCACAGTCAGACATCCTCAAATCGGAAATTCCCAGCAGCAGGGACATGCTTTTCTACTTTATTATTTATTGAATTGAAATGAGTTTTGCCAAAAGACGTTTAAAGTTTACCGACCGCAACTTTGACTGCTTTTACTGGCTGAAAGGAGGCCAAAAGTTTCTGGTCGTAGAAGTCGAATAAATATGAAACTGCAGTGACAGTTTGATTTCCCTCCGTTATTTGCCCCGAAAATATATTTTCTTTCAAATTCCTCTCAACACCTCGAGTTTTATTTTCGTGTTGCCATTTCTGTTTTTACTTTCGGAAATTCCTGGCATACTGACTGCCTGATTACCCCCGAAAAACCCCGAGAGCATCAAATTGCAATTTCGCCCAGGACCATGACTGGAAACTTTTCGGTTTCCGTCTGACCACCTCTCGCCCTCAACTCACTAGCAGCCATCAACTAATCTATTACGACCTCTAGTGAAGCCAAGTAATTGGCCAATTGCCTAATCGCTTGTGCAGGAGCTGAGAACGTTTTATATACCTTGTTTAAGTAATTAGGGGAATAGTGCAAGTCAGGCGGATAGAAATCAGTAGGGTTTCCGGCTGGCCAATTACGAGATGGCAGGGATTGGGAAGGAAAAGGTTATGCAAAATAGGGTCTTTATTGGGACAAACATAAATCCATAAATTCCGTTTTTAATTTTCCTGATTCCCTTGGGCTGCTTACCTATTCTCTCTCCCTCTTTTAAGACCGCTCTAATTTAATATTTCTTGTTCAATCAATGTTTATTATCTTCGCATTGCGGAAAACTTGTAATTCGATTATCCTGATTGCTCGAAACAAATCAAAAGCGTTGGCAGTCAACAAATCTCTCCCCGTGTCCCTATTGATCCAATCTGACCCATCTAACCTTGCCTGCCCCAGAACATCCATCAATTCCAGCTGCTGTTGCTATTGCCACTAATTTTTACAATTTGTCGTACACCGAGTTATGGAGGAGTAGAAGGGGCACTGAAATGGAACTTTTAGGAGGGCGTTGGGGCGATGAAAGCCGCAGGCAACATCGTTATGCGCAACAATAAAGAAGCCACCGAACTAGCGCCAAATTATCAACCGAACAAACCGAGGCCCAGGACCAAGGCCATAACTCAGAGGTGCCCCCTGCGAAACTTACCGTTTGAAAGCTTTTGCCAGTATTTGCTTCTCATTCACATTGCTGGCCGCTAAAATAACTGTTTCTGGCTGGTTAGGGGATTTGCTGGCATTGCTGGCAGCCGCACTTTGCACTTTTTGCGGATGTGGATGGGGCTGTGCTTCGTGTTGCTGTGGATGCTCGTTGCCCAAATCCAAATTGTTTGCCACGGGCTGAGACCTCAGCTTTTTCTCGTGTTTTTGTTGCTGCTCCAGTTCCTGCAGCGAATTTGGCCAACGTTGGGCGCCATTATGCCCCACGTTGGGCGCCAGTTTTGTGCCTGCCTGTGTGCTCCTGCTACTACTGCTACTGCTGCTGCTGCTGCTGCTACTGCTGCTGCTGCCCTGCTCCTTCAGCTGCTGCTGCAGCTTGTGGCTGGTGCTGTGCAGGATCAGGCCAATGAAGAACATATAAAACAAAATTGCGCACAATGTCGAGCAGCGCAGCCAGCGGAAGCTTTTGCTCAGCTTGTTAACGAAAGTCATTTTGTTGCCGCCGTCGTCGTCCTTTTCGTTTTCGTTTTCGCTGGACAATAGCTGGCAGTGGAGTGGCTGATGGCGATGGAGATGACGATGGTGATGGTGATGGCGACAGGGAGGTGGCGGTGGTAGTGGTGGCGTTGATGGGACCAGCTCTAAGTTCTGGTACACCGACTCCTCATCCTCCTGCTCCTCCTCCTCCACGGTCCAATCGGCTTCCGGCTCTTGCTCCAACTTGGACCGCAGCTTTCAGGACTCGTTGCGTGTAATTTGCAGTAATTTCTGCCCCTCCTCCTCGACCACTCGTCCTTCTTCTGCCTCTTTCGTTGCCTTTTGGAGCCAGTTGCCTCTCCTGTTGCTGCTGTTCCTGATGTTGTTGTAATTGTACATTAATTGACTTTTATGTTGCAACCAGCGACAGTCCTCCTTCTCCTTCTGCAATTTGTATCACTGTGGCCACGCCCCCTTTTTATATATATGTAGCTAACGCGGGGCGTCAGTGTAACAACTTCTAATACCAATTTGATGTGTTATTGCCGTTCGCACGATTCTCATTTCCTTTATGCCGGGGCTCCATCTTGTCTGCATTTTACACCAATTTTACATGATTGTTAGGGGCGCCATTTCCATTATGCGCGCTGATAATGCTGATGGCGATGGGTCTGTGGAGCAGAAGGGAAGAAGAGGAAATGGATTTTGCATGAGTAAAGTTAAGGAAATCGTTTCCCATTGCGAATTCGGGTCAGTGGATATCGCAATTTATAGTGACAAAGTCAGGGGCTCTTAATTTAAAAACAATTCAAAAGTTTTAAGCAAGTACCTACTACTAAAAATCCTTTAAAATTTTTGAAACTTTTTCAGGTCACCTCACCCAATCACCAAACGAATAAATTTTAACATTTTCTAGTTTCTCAGCACGTAGCCATTCTTTGACACACTTTATCTCCTTTGGCTTTACGCGAATAATTTTGCTCTTTTTAGAGTGCCCACTTTAGTCAAGAATTTATGTTCTAAAGTCGAGTGCTCTCCGCCTCTTAGCCATTGCATTTCTCCCCCACAGTTATTAATTAGCCATTGCGAAATCTTTTTACTCACTTCAATGGCCTCTCAAGGGGGCCAATCAGAGGAGGGGGTTCAGCCATTAAGCAGCCAACGAGCGAATTAGAAAGTCCCATAAATTTCTCTTCGTTCCCATCATTGAAGTAGAGGGATTCTGAATTGGCAGGGGTGCTGGGTTCAGACATAAAATGGGGCCAACCTAATGACTTACATAATGGAATGTACTAAAACAGAAGTCGTAAATGAGATCAGATGAGATGAGAGTTCAGATGAGATGAGTTTGGGGCAGCCTAAGCCATGAGATAAGTAGTTAATTTTAATAGATCCAACATAAAATGTTCCCTGTTGCCCTTCATTAATGTGGCTACATAAACATGGAACAGTAATCAGAACTCGTGACGGATTTAATGAACTCTGGGTGAAAGGTATCAGTTCTGCTAGGTTATTTTCCATAACCACATCTTCTTTAATTTAATATTTACCCATCCATTTTTTATGGAAAGCGCCCGCTGAACTGTAACCCATTGAAAGTGGAATTGCTTGTCAACATTTGCCATACCGATTTCCCGTTGTAAGAGTAATTTAATCAGATATTTACCCCTGCATATATATATTTATGCCATATCGCAGAATCCACACTCGACGATGGAAACTCGCACGACTGTATATACTCGTATTCAATTCGATTTGACTTACTGACTCAATTTGCGTTTCTGAATACGCTGCACATGTGTTCATGGGTCCGTACATTTGTGTGAATTTTATGATATCACTTGCTGTTGCTGGGATATTGGTCTGTTGCCACACTTTTTAACGCTATTGTCTCGCGTCGTTTACTTTTGCTTTCGTTTCGATGGCTGCGCTTGTCTTTGTACCACTTTTGCTTTTGTCTTTTATTGGCCAACAGCAAAACCAGTTGAGCATCTTTTAAAACCCACTGTGCACTTGGGAAAAATGCTGCTTATATATGGGTGCCATGGGTTTCTAATATTAGTTAAAATTATTTTTGAGCAGAGAAGGGGTAAAGTGTTATATGATATTAAAATATCGTATATTTTAATATGAAAAATTTTAAATATCGGAAAACATCGCATTTAGCCCTAACATATCGATTTGATCGATATTATCGTTCCTTATTATCATAATTATCGATTTTATCGATATTATCGTTCCTTATTTTCATAATTTACAACACAAAATTTAAAGACAATTACCACTCATTTCGTTTCGAGTGTAAACACACTGGCTTACACTCATTTAAACACTCAGAAAGCCATAAGCGAGTCGCAGATGTTTCTTTCATCGCTTGGCCACCATTGTCTTGTGCTGGCCAGCTACATTTGGCCATTGCCATTCGTTGTTGCCACTTTTACTGTTTGTCCGTTCTATTTCTTTATTTCTGTTCACTTTCTGTTTTTTATTAACTGCTTCTCTGCTCGCATTCGCTTTTGTTTCTCCCTTTTAGCTGCAGCCTTGTTTTATGTCTCTGTGAACTTTTGTTGGTTATTAGCTTGTCCGCACTCCCAAACAGATGGCATAGGGGGGAAAAGGGAAAAAAGAGATGCGGAAAAAAGTTGGTAATAAATTTTTAATGAAATTTCTGTGCAACCTTAATGAAAATCGACCAGAGAAAGAGAGGAAAGGCAGAGACAAATGGAAGCTAGGAAGATTTTTAATCAAATTTACGTTCATATCGGGAAATCAAATCCAATTAGCAACTTTATAAGAACTTTCCACTTGGCTGCCCACTTTGCATTTGCTGCCCAACTCCGGAGGGAATAAAGTGGATCTGCTTCAGTTACTGCTCATTAAAAGTGTCCCTCGCTATAAGGATTCGTGTTGAACGCCCACTTTAAGGAGGGAGGCACCACATAATCCGCCCATCACCCTCTCTTCTTGCGGCCCAAAGATAGTGTCAATTTCAATAAAAATCGATGATGTAGCAAAAAGTGCAGGACGAAAAAGCGGAGAACGAAACGAGATATAAGAGTTAAAAAAATGCGTTAAACTTTATTGCAAAACTATTGCCAGACAAGTGGCACAGAATGTTGCAGGGGGGGAAGCAATATCTGCCTGAAAACTCAGCGATAAGCTCTGGATGGTTGCACAAGTTTAAAGATTTGATTTGGTAAAAGCTGCGCCATCGACATGAGAACAACTAAGAGGAATTCCCCGATTCCCCCGGCCCCAATCCAACCCGACCATTACAAATCGATGATAACGATGACGATGATGAAATGTTTGCTCAGCCATTGATGGATCTATCCCGGTCGAAGGGTGAGGGTGCTGAGGTTGCCGAGGGAGGATGGATGATTGGCCAGTCGAGATGGGATAACAGTTTGATGGGGAATGTTTGTTTGCGCCAAGAGAAATGCAGTTCGGCAGCAGCACAAAGATAACTTAAATACTCCTGGTTCAAGAATGTTTGAGCGATGACGGTTTGAATGGAGGAGGAGTCTAATCTGGTTTGGAATATGCCGAGATATCGACTGGGGATGGGATGAAGGGTGGTGCATTCCCTGAAAAGGGCTCATACTCCTGCAATTCAAGCCCTTAAGCAGCTTAAATTGATTGTGCAAGGTTGTTTAAATTTGTCGAAATTGTTCTTTCGTTTAAGTTTTTCTAAGCTGAGTTTAGAAGAACCACAAATAATAGATAAATAACTTCAAGATTTTGGAGAAAATTTAAAGTACAATTACACTGTGTAGAGTAGAGAAATAATAATATAATAATCATTTTGAATAGACCATAAAACGTTTTATCATAAGTCAGCATTAAACGGTGCTTTTATTTCCATTTTCTCTTCAATTAGTTGTATAATATTAAATTAAATAAAATGGCCATTAAACAGAAATCAATTAAAATATTGTGACTATAGCAAACCTATTAACATACCAATGAAAATGTCATTTAGTTTAATAACCAAAAGAGGAAAGGTCAAATAATATTGCCAATTTGCAGTATTACATAGTACTTTAAAGCCCCTAGAGTTTCGACAATCCATAAGCAAAATAGAAATCATCCATTGAGAAATCCGGCAATTAGATATTTATGAATTTCTCCCTCCCTGTCAGTTTCAATTTATAGAGAAATAAGTAATCTAAAACGGGCAGCCAATGATGACTAATCAATTGCATTAATTATGAATAACACGCACAGCCAACTATCTCCATATCCAACTATCTGTCTATTTAGTTCGTTTCTGTCTCTATTCCTAATTGAACATCAACAAAATCACTAAAAACCAGGCAAAACACCGACGGGCAACATGGCTAAAACCATGGAAACCCGGCAAAAGCAAAAACAACAACACAAATTCCATAAAATATGCATAGGAAAATCCATTTCAATTTTTTGCTCATAACAATTTTCGAGACTCTGACATTTCAATTAAAACTCGAAACGATTTGATGAGCAGTGATGACGATGATGATAATGTTGATGTTGAGAAGGATTATAATAGGCGAGAACGCCCGATGGAATGAAGGGGGCCTTGCTGATAGATTTAATTTAACTTTTTTAATGAACTGGAGTTGAGGCAGCACGAACCCATTTAAGCCCAGCATTTATTCCAATTAGCCAAAGAGTTTTTTCCGTTTTGGGGATTTGGGATAATCCCCAAGCTGTGCGAAATTTAAAAACCTCTAAAAATATTTTGCCTTGCCTAAACTGTTTTTTAGGTGAGAGTGCTTATTTTCCATATTATTCTTTGGTCTTTGGGACCCCTTCAATTTTTTTTTTGCGGCCTTAATCCACTCTTCTTCTTTTGGCCAAAGTCAAAGCTGGTCCAATGTGTGTGTGTGTCGGTTGGCAGTTGATGTGTGCGAAAACTGCACTCAATCAGTGCCAAGCAAACAACCTGCAACAGCCAGCCAACACCAACAACCAAAGGGAAGAGGGGAAAAGAGCAGAAAACAGACAAATAACTTGATTTGTTTGTTGTTTGTAGAGAATGA